TAAGAGAACGTGAAGTCAACACCAGACACAGCTCCAACTCTGGCCATGGGCGGTAGGAAGGAACTGGGTGTGAGGCAGTTCTCCTTATATAGACAGGGGCTATGACTGCACCGCACGAGCACCACCCTCCAACAGGTACTAATAGGCAACATAGTCTGTGCTTATGTGTGTACTCCAATGAGCTTCTCTCCCTCTGCTCCAGTGCCCTGCCAGTCAGTTCCTTCCTAGTACCTCTCATCCTCCACAGTTCAACTGCTGAGCCACAAGCAGGAGGCATAAGGGGGAGTGAGGTGTTATGCTTAAGAGAGGGGACAGGGCAGAGGTGAGCCTTTGGGGTGAGGGCAGAGCAAGGGTCAAGCACCCTTGGGGAAAATAAGAAAGTTGGTGCCCATGCTAGACAAAAGTTTCAGCTCTGGAGTGCTGGGCAAACACACCCACCTAAGTGAAATACACAGGTACAGCTCCTCAAAGCCAGAATTGTCCCAAAAACTGTTTCATATTAGACAGTTACAACAGTGGTGCACAACCCGTGGATCACAACCCTTAAGGCAGGGGTGGATATCTTCCTGGGGGGTCACCATAGCCGTGGGCATAAGCCCCAGCCGCCCAGCTGTAAGCATCACACCGCTCAAGTTACCAGGGGCGGGGGGGAGGGAAGGGGTGTCGCAACACGAGTACAATAAAATAAGGAGGTTGTGGTTGAAAAAAGGTTGCACACCATTGATTTACAGGATCATGGTAATGCCTTTTACTCTTTGGGCCATACACCCACATCTAAACTCATACATTTCCTATTATCCTCTAGGGGGTATTTGCACACTGTTTGTAACTGTAGTATCTATGCAGGTATTAAAGTTAGGCTGACATGTTTGTAATTCCCTGGGTCCTTTCAGTACCTAATGTTAAAAAGGGAACAATGTTTGCCCTCTTCTAGTCATCTAAGATCACATGTGGGAAGGAGTTCCACAGCCTAATGATACACAGCATATAAAAAAAATTTACAAGTTTAATTTATTGCTTTTAAGTTTCATTGACTGTCCCCTTTGTTTTCCTTTATGAAAAATCATGAATAGCTGTGTTTTGACCTTGTAAGCTAGGGTGTCCAGAATGGAACACAATTCTAGGTGAGGCTGCATCATAATATCAAAAATGTTATTTGCCAGCTATTCCCCATGCATTATAAACTGTTCACTGTTCTAGCTGCTACTTTTGCACATTAGAAGTCTTATTAAGATGGCAATAGTAATACCCGGTTTCTTTTTCTGACCTGTAAAATAACAACTCTGTACACATAAATGTTGCCTAAATTACACTTTCCAAAATATATTATTTGCATCTGTCAACCCCACATTTTATCTGCATTCACCTTTTTTCATTAGATTCCTCCGAAGTTCCTTCTAATTTTTTCTAGACTAGATTAACCTCAGTAATTTTGTACCATTTGTAAATGTTGCTGCTTTACTATTTATCTCCCTTTCCAGACAATTCATACACACATTAACATTAAACAGAAAGTCTAGTATAGAATCTAGTGGCACCCCACTGTAACCCTTTGGCTTTAAATTGACCTTTATTTTTACTTACTCTCTCAAAGACTTTAAAAGACCAATAAATTGTGTGAACCAGTTCTTTATTTCACTTACACAATCAGAAATTGTAATACTTTAGAGTGAAGCAAGACTTTTTCCTTTCTGTGGAAGCCATGCAGGTTATATATACTACAGAGAATGTGAACACAATCAGATACTGCAGTATTTATTCAGACAAAATCCTATTGCAAGACAGACCCCATTTCTGTTTTATTCCTTGCCAGGAGGCAGAGGCACCCATGGAACCAGTTTAACTTAATAGACCCACTGCTGTGAGTGAAATTTCTGAAAGCACGTTCAATGGGGCCAAAACCCTAAACTGAATTATTCAGGCAAATAAATTCCATCTAACCTTTACATAAAGAACAACAAATGTCTTCTGTAAAGCAATTTAAACATGCATTTTGAGAACTTTCCCCTTATGGAGCAGTAAGACAGCGAGTGCAGGGCTATTAGTACTCAAAGATCTCTTTTTACAGACCTCTCTTTTTTTGCTGTTAAGTTACTATTATCCTCCATTCCATGTAATAATGGGCTTAACATCAAGTGAAACTGGAAATGGAAAGAAAAGTGAAAGATGACAGACTTAAAGGGATTTTTCTGGAACTATGGGTTACTCCTAAGGTCAGAATCAGTAAGTATAATTAGATCCCTGGCCTTTACAAATATAAAGCAACTCAGATTTCTTGTGTGCTTGTAATTAAACATGCACTTTTACTGCCCCCTGCAGTATTGTGAAGTTACTTCAATTCTAGCATATGGAAGTTTATTGGAAGAGCAGATGCAGATACAAGTCTTCTATTTCTGCATTATTTCTGAAAAAATATTTTTAAAATAAATTGAATGACTTTTTACTTAAAAGATATGTTTTTACTAATGAGTGTTTTTTCAGTACCTCTCAGAAATTCATTTCCATACAGATTCCAGCACACAGAAAACTCCCAACACAGAATAAACTCCACATTACTGTGTGATCCAAATATGTGATAGTGGGCAGAAATGACAAACATATCTGAATTAAATACATTTCATATTTAGATACCAGGTGATTAAATGCTGGCTGAATTTGACAGCTTCCCACAAACACTATTGGCTCCTCCATCTAGTTATCATTTCTTCTGCTTACAAAGAACGGGATTCTATGCCTTTTGGCTCCAAGAAGTTACAATTTCTCATTCACAAGTGGTACTGTGATTTTGGTTTCTTTTTCCCCAAAAAACCATGTATGTTTATTACAGGCTGAGTTCTGAGACACAGACTTAAGAATTAATTGATGCTGAGAATTTCAAAGCAAAAGTGCATCGATATAAAAAGAAAATCCATGCAAAAGGAACCTTTCAGTATATATAGATATCCATCAGAAGATCTCCATCTAGATTAGGAATTAAGTATTTATGATAATGATAGAAATGTAGCCGTGTTAGTCTGGGGTAGCTGAAGCAAAATGCAGGACAATGTAGCACTTTAAAGACTATTTGATCTGAGGAAGTGGGTCTGGCCCACGAAAGCTCATCATCTAATAAACCATCTTGTTAGTCTTTAAAGTGCTACATTGTCCTGTATTTATAAGTATTTTGATAAAATATATTAAGCACTTCACTAAAAGGAGACAGACAACTGGTTAATAGTTATTCACTCAAGACTTGCCTCTATGTCAATATCTTCTATTCATACTAGCAACACAGCAAAGTAGGTTATCTGCTCAAGAATCAGCAATATTAAATCCTTTTTACTAAGTATCTGTATAATATGTACTCCTGTTAATATATCAACTCTTTTGATTTGGTAAACAGATTAAACAAATATTGTTTCTGATTTTCTATTGAATTCAGTCATAATAGGTCTTAAACTAAGCATAGGCCTTGAGCAGCCCCCAATAAAATAGTACATTTTACCAAAATAGCTACTTGTTGATTATAAGAATATAAAGACTATTATTACTGGGCAGTCACTTAAATTGGTTGTTATACTATGTTTATCCAGCAGAGGGCTTTTTAGACTGAACAGCAAAGAGCAGTTTGCACATATGAAAATCTGACTACCAGGTTGAACTGCAAAGTGTTTAAATATTGCCTTAATGCCAAGCAAAAAACCAACCTCTTTCTCCCTCGCTGATTGTGATCAGTATTTGTTTTAACTACTAAGCAAATGCTTATTTTAAATGGCCCCAGCAGCTGTAAATCAGGAAAATTACATTAAAAGGAGCAATCCAGATCTGTTAAAATAGAGAGGAAGGAAGTGTAAATTGCATCCTGAAACAAATGCCTAATTACAAACTTATGATCAGAGAAGCACCCACTGATTTCAGGCAGCTTCATTTTTGGGTTCTGAATTTCAGAAGTACCAAGCACTGGTTGACTTCAAAGAATGTTCTGGGTGCTCAGCACCTACAGAAATTGAGCATAGAAAAAGTGAGCCATGTGATATTAAAGGTCAATTTTGAAAGCTTTGTTCTTAGAGTCGACTACTAGTGCAGCAAATGGAGAGGTTACATACCAGTAACAAGCTCAGTTTATTGCCTGCACACAGCTACTGCACTTCATAATTGTTTCCAAAGCAGTGACCATTATAGCCACATGTTCACTTGCCTTTAGCCAGGCTGCCAGATGTAGTAACCTGACTGCTGTTCTGGCTGAACAAGGTTAGGTTGAAAGGTTCACTGGATCTAAATAATCAGAACTGGCTGACCATACTGGGCCTGTTATAATCACCACCCTGTAGCTGCTTCAGGATTGTTGATATCATAAGTATCAGTGAGAAAGCATACCACAAGTCTCAGTGTCCAGTCAGTGAGCAAGGCAGCTGACAGTAAGCCTGGCCCAGACCTCTTTACAAAATACTTGTAATTTCTTGGTCTAGCTCTAGTCTGTGGCATGATGGATTTTAACTTTTTCCAAATACTAAAACAATTTGTTTTAGTGCAGATAATTATATTTTGCTGGATGTTCCTGGTAGTTGGCAATGCAAAGTTGGATATTGGCAGAATAGACTTTACTAATGAACAGATCCAGTCTTAGGGGGCTTTTCCCTTGGTGTTATTAGCAGCTCTTGCTCTCTGGATCTTTCCTCAACAGCCACTAAAACAAGAGACCCTATTACTAACTATGAATAAGATACTTAGAACTTCAGTCCTCATAGCAGATGCCATGAAGCAGAAAACTCCATTTTCCTGAACAGTAAAAGTCATACTCCACCTTTCTCCCATCTTAATATCATATACAAAAAGGAGGCAAACAGAGAGGGAATAATGTCATATGCTCTGCTCTCTAGACCACTTCCTCCCCTAACATCTCTAGCAGTCATGCTCTTCTTAGGCATAGTATGCATCTAAGATTTGAGTCTTACTTTGAGGAAAGCTTATTACCTCCATAAGGAAAACATTAAGAAAAAAATGATTAAGTATGAAAAATGTACAAGTTAAGACACATGTATTTTTATTTTTAGCAACACTATCCCATACAAAAGCAATAGCAACATTAACTGCTTTCAGCAGAATGTCTGTACAAAGTTATCATTTACAACAGTTTTACAATAAAATCAGCAAATACAAATCAAGCGCTTTCCCTGGATATATTGTTTATTTTTCTCTAAGTGTTAGACAACTTATGTCTACCCATAACTATTTACAGGTACCAAATTTAGGCTACAGCTCCTTAATGCATCAGTGCCACACTTCAGGCTTTTTTTTTTTAGTAAATGTTGCATACTATGTCCTTTCCCACCACTATAAAATAATCTTTTGCAAATGAGAGGAATTTACTTTAATGAATCAGTCAAAAGGAAAACCATGTCATATGGAAAAACCACTTACACAAATATCTTTACCGATTAAGGAAAATGTCAGAGGTTCAGTGATGCAGGAAACAAGGACAGAGCCCGCCACACTTCCAAATCAATAGCTCAAGTATCTGGTCTAGACCAATAATGAACTAGAAGTTGTTATAGGTTATTGTAGTTGCAGGTGGAACCTCCATGAGCTGGCACCCCTGGGACCTAAGCAGTCAAAGAGTTTTCCAGATCAGGGGAGGTCCACCCTGCTCCTTGCCACAGGCCTGCTGCCCCCAGCCTTGCTGGAGCTGTACTCCCCAGCTCGCTGACTCCAGCTGGGGCTGTGCTCTTGCTGCTAGCCCAGGAGTGCAGCCTGGGCACCAGCCTTGCTGTGTCTGGCCCGGATGGGGCTACACTCCCCACTTTGCTGGTCTAGCTAGGTCCTTGCTCCCGGTCTCTGCCAGCCCTGCTGCCTCCAGGTGGGCGTGGCTACGTTCTCCACCACCATCCCAGCCCCTGAACCTGGCTAGCCTGGGTTCTCTGGTCCAGCAATATTTGTGGCCTTCCAAATCACAGATGTTGCTAGACCAGAAGGTCCTGGATTTTAGAGGTGAAATCTAGAGGGCATGGACCCTTTAGGCAGGATTTGCAGGAGAGTTAGTTCACCAAGGCAGTGTACAAAATCTCAAACCACACCTGCTTATCCTATGGTGGATAAATTGCTCTATGGATTGTCAGAGTGCTTAAGTAACAAGCTAACTTATGGAGAAACAAATGACAACCTGAAGTTTTACAGAACAGTTTTCTGGAGGGGGTAGTAGCGTTGCTTTTGGCCGGGTACGCTATGAACAGTTCAATGTTTTGAAAATTATAAAAAAGTAGTCTTGTAAAACCATCTGATATACATTAAATTAGAATTCAAAGAGGAGTTACACAGCTTAAGTTCTATTCTTTACATATTTGGTCCAGAAAATATAGAGACCACAAATTAGGGAACAGCCCTTTAACTTGCTTAAGCTTCTGCACTACTGACAGGTAGGGAACAACATCCAGTTTGAGAATATCAAGATATCAGTTCACAAAATTTTAAAATGTTTCCCTTAAAAGAGTATGCACAGAGAACCATTTAGCTCACAGTACTGAAGTCTTTAAGTGGCTCATTCAAACACGCTTCCAAGTCAAATTCACCTTCCACCTGATAGTCAACATGCCTAACCTTGGTGGGAGTGCCAGAAAAGGTGTCCTGGAATATAAAATTACATTAGTGATTAAGAAATTAAGATCAGCGTGAACCTCATCTACTTAATACATCTCAATTTTCTAAAGCTCTATAGAAACAGTACTACATCAGAAGAGAGACTTGGAGGCAAGACTGTACAGAACGCAAGACCTTCTTTACTGCTGTTCTTTGCTCAAGAGGTCATTTTTGGCTGCTTCAGCCTTCACAAGACTTATGAAAATGAACTCTCTTTATGCCTAGGGCTATGATTTTGGCATACATTGTTATTGAAAATTTCAGACAGGACATAGGAATTAAACAATAAATTACCAAATATACATAAGGGCTGGAGTTAGGAGGGCAACTGCTTGCCACCCAAGGCCTGAATTAGTGGAATTTTGAGGAAGTCATGCAAGTTTTGTAAAAAAAAATAAAAATAATCACAGAATCTGTGACTGACCCAGTCTTATGCCCCATTTCAACCTTCAGTTGTTGTTAAAGGCATACCCAAAAAGAGTGATCTCAGCAGGTCATGTCTTTCACATATGTTCCCCTTATGTGCTTTGAAAAGTGAATATTTAATGTTAATATTTAAAATATCAATGGCTTTTGAATTAGCTCCACTGAAGTACTATTTCAGGATCTCTGCAAATTCAGACATTCCTAGATTAGCTATACTTAGGTCTTATTTTCAGGAGTTTCTTCACAGCCATACAGCTAAAGCCTTTAAATGAAAACTTAAGACTCTGGAGAACAATTAAATGTTTTGTTCAG